ACTAAGTTTCCATAGCCAACATTAGCACGCATGTCTTTTCTGTAAACATTACAATCAACCCTTGAAATAACTCAAGTCACATTTGACGTAACACGTCTAACTGCCTCAGTATTGGGAGTGCATGTAGCAAAGCATTCAGCTTATTAGGCTCTCCATCTCCTCAAGATTGCTGGTGTCAAGTTTTGTGATTCCCTGTCTGTGAGAGAAGGAGAGATAAAGTCATGTTAGGATCCTTATCAGAATCATATTATTGCCAAGTTCTTCTTACAAATACACGACTTGGTGAGCAGCAACAATAAACCTATGTAAATATAAAGATTGACAGGATTTATATTTGCTGTGTTAATCAAACTGAAAGAAACGGGAACATACTGAAATGCATTTCAATTTGGTTGATAATATCCATGCTGTGTTTGCTGTCAACCATATTGACAGCAAATCCTCTTCTGCCAAAGCGTCCTGTGCGGCCAATCCGGTGAAGGTATGTCTCATTGTCAGCGTTCCCATCCATGTCCACAGGCAGGTCAAAGTTGACCACAAGTGACACTTGTTCCACATCAATCCCTGTAGTCAACATAACCACAAATAGGTTGGGTACGCTTATACTCCCTCCCAACAAAGACGATGTTTTAATTAGTCAGTCAGTCTTAATCTCCCTCACCTCTGGACACATTGGTGGTCACGAGCACCTTTTCCTTGCCGTTCCTGAAGCGTTCGATGACCGCAGCTCTCTGCTCCACGGTCATTTCCCCACTCAGCAATGCCACCTGGTGGCCCTCTTTGGTCAGGTTTGCAGTCAGCCAAGCTGCCATCTTGCGAGTCTGAAGAAAACTATCAGCTGAACTGAATTGCTCATACTGCATCCTGTCAGGGGATATTTTGCTGAAATTTGAATTTTTGTTATTTGTGATAAATTAGATATATTTTTAAGTCATACCATAAGGTAACGTCTTAAAGACATGTTTTGGCCAATGCAGATGCATTAAAACACACCTTATCACCTGTCAATTTACCAAACGTCAACACCACACTTACATCTGGCTTTAACATGCAATCTGTATCTGGATATCCTATGTGGACAAGGAAAAACACTTCCTGACTTTGCCTCTACCTACTAGGTTTAGCTGCACATTAACAGCTACAAGTAGTAGCCAACAAGTCTTCCCTTCACGTGGGACTCTGCAAGTTTGTTGACATCCTCCAACCCTGCCTCATGTATGTACATATTTAGACGGAGAGAATTATTAATACCATGTATAAATGCAAAGGCCTGCGTATCAGATGCTTTGATCCATTTTGTGCATCCAGACACAGATCACCAGGTGTAATTGAGATCCAACAGCGAAAGGGAAAGTGTTTTTTTTCTCTCTCATTATATAGTGTGGACCAAACAGTTCAAACAACTGACTTACATGGCAGAAGATCATGGCCTGTGCAATGGTAAGGGTGCCATATAGATTACACAGTGCTGTGAATTTGTCTTCCTTCTCCTTACAGACCACATAGAACTGCTTGATGGTGTCCAGAGTCTCCTCTTCACGCTTCAGCCTGATGATATTGGGATCGGGAACCACATGCTCTGCAAACTTCCACACAGAGTCCTCAAAGGTTGCAGAAAAAAGGAGCATCTGACAGTCCTTTGTCAGTTGTCTGCATTGGTACGGAGAGAAAAGAGGAAAATATTGTGACGAGAGGCTTGTTGACTGACATCACAAATTAAACTCTTGTCATTGGTAGGCTTCTCTGAAAGGAACCCACCTATGGATACGTATGCTCTGGTCCCGATGACCCTGTGTGGCGATCATCACATCAGCCTCGTCCAGCACAAACATAGTAATCTTCTTTGGGTCGATGAGCTTGTACTTGGTGCACCAGTCGAGGATTGTACCCGGCGTTCCTATGACAATCTGCTGCTGCAACTTGGTGCCTCGCTCCACTGAACAGAATGCAGAAATTCACATAGTGATATAACCAACACCGGCTCTCTCATGACTTCATGCAACGTAACTACACTTAAGGTCACATTCTTACTTTTGCTGCCTCGAATTCCATATGCCAGTTTCACATCAGGACAAAATTTCCCCATTTGCTCAATTACTTGACCAATCTGCAGCGCAAGCTCGTATGTTGGCGAGATGCAAAGGCACTGAAAGAACCAAACCGTTTTTAAATGGAGAGTTTACTTCAGCGTCTCCAACTGAAGGGACACTGGGTGGCTCTGCAGACTACATGTTACACTTACCTGAGTCCACTTTTTAGCTGGGTTTACATGGCTGAGCATGGCCAGAGAAAAAGCAGCGGTTTTACCTGTGCCAGACTGAGACTGGGCAATCAGATTCTGAGGTCTGGAACCAGAGAAATACACACATAAAGAAGTTAATAAATACCAGACAAGCCTGATGCAAGTGTGGTAAAATTCTCTTAATAGCTACTTCATAGTTTTTAGCATTAAATTAAAGGATGATAGTTATAGTCCATTTTAGAACTGAAACTGGTCAGAGACTGTGATAATATATTAATCATGTGTCATTTTTCAAGCAGAAATAAGTGAGATGTGCTTCTTTTCTTGCCCTTACATTATAGTAAAGTGAATATTTTGACTGCTTGTTGAACAAAAGACATTTGATGGAGGTCACCTTCATCACCAAGACATTTTGACAAGACATTGGGCCTTTTTCACAATATTCTAATGATTTACAGAACAAACTGGCAGATAAATTGATAAAAATAATTGTTAGTTGTAGCCCTAGTCCATTTTACTTCAGGATAAATCAGTATGTGTGTGAGATAGATATCTCTCTCAGAGAGAGAGAGAGAGAGAGAGAGAGAGAGAGAGAGAGAAGAGAGAGAGAGAGAGGAGAGAGAGAGAGAGAGAATCTAGTTTACATTTAGTTGTCCAAATTAGTAAAACCATTGATATTTTCATTTCTTGTTGATAGTATGTTCCAGCCATTTGAATGAACTGGGAAAAGTCAAAATTCTACCCCTAAAGCCAAATCCTGCATTAAACTGTTAAGTGAAACTGATAATTAGACGATCTAACTAGTCATTTTTCAATTAAAAATGCGAAACATTTGCTGGTTCCAGCTTCTCAGTTGTGAGGATTTACCACTCCTTTCAGTTTATATTTAAATTGAATATTGAGTTTTGGATAGTTGGTTGGACAAAACAAGCAATTTGAATATGTCATCTTGAAATTGTGATTTTTCTGACTGAATTTAACAGGCGTAATAATCAATGAAATAATTGCTATTAATGGAAGACTCCTTAAATAATCTGCATTCCATCAAAGTAAATTATTGTTATTTTGTGAATATTTTTTGATTAATTGAATAATCATTTAGTCTAAAAAAATGTCAGCAAAAACCCTATTGGAATTTCCATGGTGATGGTGTCGGGTCATTTAATCAAACCAATAGAGCAATATTTAGTCAATGTTCAATTTGCCATGTCATCAAAGAGAAGAACAGCAAATCCTCATATTGAGAAAAATGAGCAAGAAAATAAAGTATTTTGAAATTAAAACACCAACTCCTCCAACCTCAACAAATTGCTGACAATATCTTTCCCAAAGTCCAAGGTAATCAAGTTTAAAGACATACATAGGAGAGAAAGCAACAATCCTTCCATTGAGAAGCCTTTTCTTGATAAATGACTTGGATATCAGAATTGCACTTCTTCAATAGAGTAAAAATGAACTCACGGCTGTGCCAACATCATGGGCAAAGCATTCTCCTGGATTCTGGATGGTCTGTTGAAACCCATGTTGTAGACACCCTTCAGCAGCTCAGGTTTCCTATTGATCATCAAGTCAACAAAGATTAAATTGTTTGGGGGGGGGGAGACATACTGTGCTCATCTATTTCAGATCAATTTCAAACTCACAGTCTCAGCTCCTCAAAGGTCTTCACAGAGTACAGAGGAGAGGTGGGGTCCCGCTGCAGAACCTCCACCTGGTTTCTGTTCCGCACCAGAGAGCGGCGGATCAGTTTATTCAACAGGGACTGTTCAGCCAGGTCCACTTTGTCCCCGTCTCTTGTCCAGCCTCCATTTTCAGCTCTCTCCGGCACAATGTTGCCTGCACAGGTGGAAAACCACACAAAAGTCCGTCAGACACCACGACAACTAAGCGGTAAAATTAGATAGCGGGGATGTTAATAAGGGGAGAACAACTAATTAAGTTACCATTTATGTCTCCTCTTATGTTGCGTGGACCACGCAGTCGATCCACCTTCTTTGAGAAGTCAATCTGGCCAGAGGAAATACAGTTTTATAACATTAAGGCTAAAAAAATAATGCGAAAATTGTTAGCATGTCATATTGCAGACACAGCAGCTAGGTAGCATATTGAGCTAACCTGCTAACGAACGATGAGCAAGTTCGTTTGATGTTATTTTTTAAGCTGTTGGTCACCTTTAAAACTTTACCTTACCTGTATGGATGGAGTTGTAGCTTCTTGAACGTCGACTGCAACCGCCCACGAGTCTTCGGACATTTTCAAACATTAATTGTGGGTTTATTTCGACACAAATAAATTTTTATCAAAAAGTTTGATGTCAGCGTGAATGATGTGCGTGCAAAGTGCAGTGACGACAAGCCGCTGTCCGGACCTGGACCAACCGCAACCCGCTGGACAACACCACTGATGCTGCCTTCGGGGGCATCGGAATAATCAACATTTAAAGACCAGGCCAACAGAAGCAACCAATCATGGAGGTAAATAGAGGATAAATATAATTGACTTGTTGATTTAAAAAAGTCAGCTAAAGTGAACCATAATTCCGTGGCATATCTTGAGGTGAAAGTCGAAGGAAATGTTTTAGGAAACCCATATTTACCCTGATTCTACACTCTGACGACGATTTAAAAGTGACTCTTATGATTCTGTCTATCTCCCTGTATGATGTTGGCTGTGAAATATGTTCTTATTGTTTCATAGTCGCTTTTATGTGTGTTTGTGTGTTTTTTAGAACGACTGTGAAACAATTGAATGCAGACAATGTTATTTTACGAGGTTTATGAGGAATACCTGAAGGCTCCGTAGTGTTCCCACCCTTTTCGTAGAGTGAACCTGCTGACACACCCACACAGACCCACCACACAATGCACAACAGAAGGACTACATAATAAGGTTTTTTGAATGATAGGAAATATACCAATATAATTTTTATAGAAATCCATAAAAAACAATTGCAATAATATTGCACATGACATTTTATAAGATGTATATTGCACGTTATGTGAAATGTAGGCTATTTCTATTATAAACTTGCTTTCCATTTCATAAATATTACTCTATGGGCTTCATCTTGAGTGTTGGTTGATTTAGTTTCTTCATTACAGTCAGTCAATTCATGTTAAGTTTATAAATCTAAAAACATTATAGCTAGGACTATATCATAGGTCTTTAAATAGTAGGGCTGCAAGTAATTATTATTTTCATCATTGATTATTCTGCCTGTTACTATTTCTTTTGTTAACTGATTACTATTTTCTATTTAGTAGGAGGGTTAAAGGCAGATTCCACTTAAAGTTAGATGTTGAGGTTTAGACGTTAGATGTTGAACTAGTGCTGCAGTTATTATTATTTTGATTAATTCATTCATTGTTTGATCTATAAAATGTCAAAAAAAAATAATGAAAAATGTCACAACTTCAGAGAACCCAAGGTGACATCTTCAAATTAATTGTTTAGTGGACCAACAGTCCAGAGCCTTAAAATCATTCAATTTAAAATCAGGTAAGAAAAAGAAATGCAACAAATTTTCACATTAGAGGAGAATTTTTGTGTGAAAAAGAATTAAAATAAATAAATGTCTCTATTGTCTAATTGTTTCAGCCCTGTTCACCTGTTAACGACATGTTTGATTACCATGCATCTGATGATCTCGACTGAAAACTAAAGGGGACAGAGCGTTTTATGTCAGGGCCCCGAGGCTCTGGAACAGCCTGCCCGAGGAAATCAGTCGGCTGAGTCAGTGAACTCTTTTAAGTCCCTTCTTAAAACATACTTTTATAGGAGAGCCTTTCCCGATCTTATTTGACTTTATTTTATCCCTTTTATTTTATTGTATTTTACTAATTTTATATTAAATTTTCATGCTCTTATCTTTTTTGTATTATTCTTTACACTTGTTAAAGCACTTTGTAACTTGTTTTTGAAAAGTGCTCTACAAATAAGGATTATTATTATTATTATGATGACTCACTAGTCAAAGCAGAGCAGAAATGATTAGCCGACCTATTGTGTGGTTATCATTTAAGTAAAAAATACTGCATGTTCTCAAGATCCAGCATCTCTAATAGGATTTGCATGTTTTCTTTGTCTAATGTGACTGATGTCCCCGATTCTATGGGGACTATTAGGTGGACAAAACAAGTAATTTGTTGACGTTGCCTTAAGCTTTAGGAATTTAGGGAAATTGTCATTATTTTCTGATAGACCAAAACAAATAAATGAACAGATCAATCAATCGGCTGCTGAAATAATAATAATATAACATTTAAGTGGAATTTGTCTTTAACCCTTCCACTGTTCAGTTGTTGTGAGACAGACAGAAAGTAAGTGTGTCAGTGTGTGTGTTTGTGTGAGTGTGACCGGGTTTGAATGGTTGAGAAACAGATAGACAGTAAGAGGGAGGGGTGGGGGGTACAGAGTTTTATTGGCTGCAGGTTGATTCAATTTGGAGGCGGATGTTGAGTTTCTGCCAACCCACACTCACACAAAGACACGCACGCACGCATACACACACACACACACACACACACACACAGACACTGTCTACATTTTCACGACTACCAAATGACTTCATAAACACACATTAATTGTCATGGTAACCTTGCAGGAAAACAGATGGATCAAACCGAGTGATCACAAAAACATAGAGACAGCCAAACACCCACATAGGATTTAAAACATTAAGAGCTTTCCAATTACACCGGAGAGAAGAAAGAGAGATTATAGGTGATATGAGGGGGGCATGTAGTGCTCCCTCACCCACCCATCTGTTCCAGCCTTTTTTTTTTTCACTCTCATGGTGTTCACTCTGATCCCAGCTATTAAAAAGATACCTGGATGGTTCTTGTTGTCATTGATGTCAGGGAGGACTGGAGTGAGTGGGTGGTGCTGATGCTTTGAATGCGCATCTAAAGGGAAGGGGGATGTTTATTGGAAGGACTGGACCCACTGTCTCAGCCCCCCTCTCTCTCCCTCAAGCCCTCCAACTCCAGCATCCACAGCGAGGAGGAGGAGGGGGAGGAGAATAAATGCAACCGCTTTTGCAACCACATGTTGCTGTGCTTGATTGAACTGCTGCTGCAACAGCTCCTACCTTTCCTTTTCTTTGCGGTGTACATCCAACTAACAATGTGGCCACTGCATCTGTAGCTTCTGCCACTGTGGCAGCACTCCCATTCCCTCTACGCCACAAGAGAGAACAAAAAAGGGGAGCTGAGAGAGGTCGCAGAGGAGGAGAATATCTTTCCTGATAAGTGGACTTCTAACAGAGATTCTTGCTGCATACCCAGCTGACACAAATGAAAGGTAAGATAATGAGGCTGATAATGTATCATTATATCAGATGCATTTTCACGTCGCCGTGTGTCTCTCTGATGATGCATATATTAAAGGTCCCTGTCATTTGTTTAAAATAAAGAAAGGTCGACCAGTCAGATGATTAAAACTACTGGTGACACTGTAAACAGATATCCAGACACTGTGTTCCAACAGGTGGTTACCACAGGATCTGCACTCTGTTTTGACACTAATGAGTGCAGAGGAGTGTGGCAGTGTTCATAGGAAATGTTGAGTTGATGGTTTGGTGGTCTTTTAGCAAACCCAGGAGGAGGCAGGGTGATTCATTTGACTGAGCCAACCAAGAGAGAAGTATCCTGGGACTGCCACTTGTAACACTAATTACTATAAGCTGAAAGACAGTATAGAAAAGGATGCCTTGAAAAAAACTGACACCTGCCATGCAGAAAGTAGAAATTTATTTTTAAAGCATAGTGTAAACTTATTTAGATTATAAAGATTAATTTAATTTCAGATTAATTGATAAAATGTCTTGATGTTCAGTGTCTGTGTCTCATCACAACCGAGAGTTTGCAGTCCCGCTGTGCTTCAATTCTTCTTTCATTAAGTCATTATTTTATACACCTGTATGTGGAGAATGTTTTTAAAGAGGGATGAAGGGATTGCCCCTATTTTTGGTTGACTGGACACATGATGGCACTGTCGAGACAGACAACTAACAGTCTGTTTCTTTGCCATCAATAACCATGTGGTGCCTAAAACACTGGTTTGAGTATGAAAGACTGATCGAATTTCTTATTGATTCTGAAGGTCTTTTTATGTCAGGGAGTGTGAAGGTTGTGTCTTTGGAGATCATGCAGGTGAACCTTCTACAGTAACCTAGGTAAATATGATTGTGTGGTTTGTGTGAGATTGCCAGGTATTTTAAATGCAATCAGTCACAGTATCAAAAATAAAGGCAGACTTTAGAGATGGTAGTGGTCAGTCTGCAGTCACACAAGCAAGCAAGCAGAGCTGTCTCTATGGAAATTGCTTTCGTCATAACACTTCCTATCAAGCTGGGGCTCTGGTCGTACAGCAGACACAGACCCTTCACAGCACATAACCAAGATTACTGGCGGAGGAGATTAACAATGAAGCAAGTCCCCGAAGCAACAGATAATTTTATTCTTAATAAATTAGCATGTGGCATTCCTCCCTGAGAATTTATCTTTATGTATGTGAATTTTTGTTTTTCACCTGACATGGCGTTGAATACTCTTTTTTTTTTTGGTGTGTTGTAATGATGATACCACCCTAAATGTGTTTTACTGCTGTGACCTTTATCTCAAAATTACCTGTGTGATCCATCCTAAAGCTCCTTGGTTTTACATCATATCGTTTGAGGTTGGAATATCTATCTTTAGGTTAGATACATATCTCACTGAACTGAGATCTAGATAATAGCTGTTTGAGTGTATGAGAACCCGCTGTGTTTCTGATGTTATTGCTGGGTAACAAAAGTGACAATTATAGAAGGAACATGAATAAATCATGTGAAATATATAAAAAATATCAGAAAGTTTTATTTCAAGATGCCTCATTTCAAAAGTCTGTTTTTATCACATAGTGACATTTTCCCTAATAACACTTTTATTCCATACCACTTCATAATGTCTCTTTTCATGACAGTGGTGTTGATCCCTCCTTCCTTAGGCAAGCAAGATCAACATTTAGCCAGTTAGCACCAATCAACTATATAGCTGGTGCTGTAAAAACTGACTGAATGAGCTTGAGCTTAACTAGGCTGCACATGCTACCTACCTAGCTGGCTAACTAGCTTGGCTGGGTTGTGAGCTTGGATTACAACATCAAAGCGACAAACCAGTGTTAACAGGAGCAGCAGCTAACATTAGCTAGTTAATTCACAGTTACCTCAGCTGTGTTTGATTCTAATAGATGTTAGAGAAAAACACACAAAACTAGCTAACACTTCTAACACAGGCTCCTCACTTCCATGCTAAGTTACCAGTCTAGCTAGGTAGGTAGCATGAGCAACTTTGTTGAGCTAAATAAATGTATATGTTGTTTCTGTGTAACTTCCAGACTTTGACTAAATAACTTTGACATTGTCATTGCTCCAGCTAACAGGAGCTAACTGGCTACATTTGCTAGCAGTTGTTTAATTTGTTAGCAGAGTGAAGAAGGGTTTTTAAAAAAAAATATATAATAAATATATTTAATAGAACTTTATTATTATTACAATAAATAGAAAACAGCATTTCATAATAATGAGTTGAGTTTTAATAATTTCCTCAATTATGTCATTAGTTTCAGTTGAATATTTCACACAATTTTTTCACATTTTCTTATTTTAATCCTCTTTATATATTTAAATATTTATACAATATTTAACAAACACTTTGCTTTGCTACAGCTTTTGCTTCTGGCATAAAATATCATTATCTTATGAGTTGGTTTAAAACCTTTTTTGTGTTTACATGTGGCAACAAACCAGAATCCTAAAATAAGCACCATGCCTGGACTCATTAACAAGGAGAACCGGAGCGCTCTGCCCCTTAGTGTCTCTGACATCACTTCCTGTGTCAGGGGTTATACTTTGGCCCTGACAGCCTCTATGACCTACGAAAATATCGAGGACCATGCAATTGAGGGTGAGTGTGAACACTACAGGAGACTAATTTGTATACTCCCGTTGTATGAATGATAGCCACTTTCAATTAATGTACTGTTATGCTCTGAAACACACTTTGTAAATTTCACTTTTTTCTCTCCTACTGCCTTTTAGGGATGTTCATTTATCCGCTGGAGGAAAATTCCATTGTTGTGGGTTCGAGTCTATGATATCCAGTCAGATTATAACACTGCAAATCAAAGACAAGGCAAAAATTGATGACTGTTATTTGGATTGCTGCAACACATCTAATGGAGGCCTCCAGAGTGGCAGTGGTAAGATGAAAGCTGTTGTAATCAATATTGTCATATTAGCACTGGGTCAAATTACTATGTGTAATTATGAAAGGGGTTGCTCCTAGTTGTAGTGATGAACCCATAGAGAATTATCTGACTCTGCAGTTCCCCTTCAATTGTCTTGTCAATTTTGATTTTCTGTTGGTTCACTTCATACAGTCTATGGTTCACTCTCACCACTCTCATCAACTCTTTTTCCAGCAGCAGCAGCAGCAGCAGCAGCAGCAGGCTGTTTTTAGTGAAGAATCTCATATAAGCCCACTGTACACTACCTGCTCAGCACCAGATGACAGACAGACAAAGTTGTCAACTAGCCGATGAACACAGTGGACCATTTAGCAGCTGTAGAACCAGATATTTCCCCTAGGAGTTGGCGGAGACAAATGGAGAGTGACTATTATATTTAATAACATTTGTCATTTCGCCTGAGACATGACTTTAAATTTATTTCATGTCTGCTTGATTTGTAAATAAGTGGCCAAAAAAATAATTTAGTGCAGGTTTAAAGGTGCACTCCACTGAATAAAGATCAGTTACACATTACATGAAGTTATACACTCTCAGCCTGTGAAATCAGTTCTTTAACATCTTCTGTGGCTCTGGAAGGTGCTTTCTGAAGTCTGAGAAATTACCCCTGATTAGGTTACCAGGGTTATCTAGAATCAAAATTATAACAGAAAGCCCTCATTACTCATTACTGCAAGCATGGGAAAGACATTTACCAAACACAGAGAGGTCTAATGGTGCGTTCCAATTACTATGGAAGTCAGAGCTGGAAATGACGTCACTCCCAAGTTGATCGCATTCCAGTACACAACAGATTTTCGTAAAACCAAGATGAGTGCTTCTCGCCATTGTTAGCAGTACCAGTTGATAACAATGCATTACCCGTTTTCTTGCACATACACAGTAGCAACATGCCCACAGATGTAATTTGGACAGTATTGTGTGTACGACTGATTTGATGAGTCACAAATAAAGACAGAAGTTGGATATTACTATGGCTTTAACTTTGTTGATGCTTAGAGCAGCCATTTTGGATTTTGAGTTCGGGATTGGTGAAGTTCTCCCAACTTTCTGAGTCAGAAATTCAACTTAAGGGGCGTTCCACTTGAAATTTCCGACTGGGAACATGGAAATTCCAATTTCCAGTATTTCCAAATTCCAGTAGAAGGGACCATGCACTATAGGACAATTAGAGTTGCATTATGGGGTGTGAAGATTTAATAGTACTAAAGACTAAAAGGAAATCTCTGCCCTTGATCAGCAGTCTGTCTCTCATGAGTGCCCCAACTTTAGGAACTGCAATACTAAATTGCTGGAGTACCCCTTTAAGTCTTTTGTTGGGTATGCATTTGACCATATTTTCATCAGATTTTTATGGAAAACTCTCTGAACTGCTTGAAAACGGCTCATTTGTAGTCCATCCCTTTCATCCCTGTGACGTCACAGCCCCTAAATAAGATTTTGAACCTGAAAATGAGCATAATACCACCTCTTTGGTAGGAGTAGAAGTACCGTCTGTAGAACTAACTCTGAGGACAATCCTTCTGTACTGAGTACTGTACTAATCTAAGTGTTTAAATGAACTCTGATTGAGAAGAGATATTTATGACTTTAAAGATAACAGCAGTTTCCAGACAGCTTTACATTCGCTTGGTTGCCTTCTGATTCATATAAATTGTGGTACATAAAAAAATGTGGTTGTTTACTAATCTAGTCTGGTTTTACAGGACACATAGTGTTGGATGAGGATTTGGAAAGGACAGTGTTAGTTGTTAACCTTGGGATCATCCCTCCTATGGAGACGGTCCATATTCTAGTTAGTACTTCTTCTGAGCTCTCCACCCTGCCAGCGGCGGTATAAGGGTCTCATCTCCACCTGTGTGTACACCCCGGGTACAGAGGACCATCAACGAGGAGCAGGACTATCTCCAAACTTCTCCAGAACGTAAGAACAGATAAATTCATGAAAACAATATAAAACATTATAAAAACTTGTTGAAATTACAGCATGTTACATGTTGTGTTCAAATTTGGTGTATTTTAAAATTGGGTTTGGCTGTATTTCTAGGCCACAAATGTGTGTTTTTTAGATGGAAGCTGACCATACTAACATTTTACATGTTTTTCAAGATGGCTCAGTTTTAATATAGTTGTGCTTTGCTACTTTTAGGCGGGACAGGCTCACTTGTGCCTCAAGTCCTCATGATCAAACTCCCAACTCCCCTCAGCTGTGGTTGGCTTCACTACTGGAGGAGGAGGCCATCAACTCCATGGACTATGAGTTTAACTTCCAGCTGGAGATTCGGGCTCCCTATCTCCTCGCAGGTTAGAGAATGAACCAATACTGGTGACATATTTGTTGGATATATTCTCTTAGGGCAAATCCACTTGTCAGCAGTAATCAAGAATTGCATTTCAGTGCTTCTTGAAAGCTCTCAAGTCTGCAATAAGATGTTATTAATGTGACGCATCCTGCAGTGAGCTGCAGAAAAGGGAATAAAGCACTGTTCTTTTGTGTGTTTTGCTTTCACACCTTGCTAAATGTTCTTTTTAGTTGGGTATTGGGAACATTAGTGGGCCATATAAAGTTGTGAATGGTTGATTTAACATTTTGGGATTATTTGCTATGAAGCTACAGCCAGGAGACTTGCCAGAGCTAGTATGCTCTGTCCAAAGGTATCAGCACAACTGAAGTTCAATGATTATCACTTTGTTTTACAAAAAACAGAGTGTAGATATGACTGATGTGGTTGTGTGCTGGGTTATGTCTTGGCCGGGAGCAGTCAATAGTCCAGCACATAAGTCCATGTGTTGGTTAGTAAGCTTTAGAGCTGGTGGGTGGGTTTTATCACCTTTGGCAAGGCTAGCTGTGTCCCCCGTTTCCAGTTTTTATGCTAAGCTAAGCAGCTGCTGGCTGAAGCTTCAAATTTATCCTACAGATATGAGAGTGGTATTGATCTTCCCATCAAATTCTCAGCAAGACAGCAAGACATTTAATACGTGTAATTCTTAAATCTTTTCTAATTTTTTTCCCATGTACAAATTGAGCATAGCGTAAGTTAAGGTAACAAAGTCAAGCTCAGCTCACAATCCCAGCATATCAGTGGATAGCAGCCGATCTCAAAGCCAGCCTTTCCCTCTTAGCATTTATTGGCAAATTCAATACAAGGCACCTTATTTAAGCTGCTTAAGACTGCCTATCCTTGCGGCTTCCTCTGCAAGCCACTTTGCAACACGCCGCCAGCCCAGCTCCTCCTTTCAGGCTGTGTCTGACTTATCAATGTCATTTGTGTTGTCATTGATGCCCGATCTGTTCTGTACCCTGGGGAGTTCTATGCTGCTGCTCTCTCTGCCTCGGGATTTCCATTTAAGCACATGGAAGGGCAGGAGATGTGCTCTCGCTGTCTTATGGCTTTCCACATGCAAATATCATTTCCTTGATAAAAGCTGTCCTGACTAAAATGGGAGTAATTTCCGTGGGCCTACTGGTTTGTTATTACTGGTATTACTGGAGGTGGACCCACTGGTTATTTGATCTCCTGTGGTTGTGCTCTGTGTAGGTGTAGAGAGCCCGTCTCATGCTATCCGAGCTGATGCAGACCCTCTGGCCCGCTCTGCCACCAGCGTCGTCATCACTCTGGCAGACAAGTACACTTATGACTGTCCTGTCGAAATCCTCATCTACCCGAGCGGTAGTTCCACAGCTTCAAAACTCACTCACAGCATAGCCAATTAGTCTTTCCTCCCCTCTCAAGTACACTAGTTGGACCTTGTTTACTTCTGCTCTGTCAGGCTTCTTTTACAGCAGGTTTTGTGTTAAGTATCAAATCAGATCAATTGCGAGGTGACTCACCAAAATGTCCTGTTGTTAATGTATGCCATGCCAGCGGAGTCGACAGCATTCAGCATTGTGTGGGTGCAGCGTCAGGTCTGTTTTTTTAATCCTGTGCTCTCGTCTCTCTCTCATTCCCGCCTTGACCTACACTATGTGTGGGCCATTTGTCTCCCAGAGGCATGAATGAGCCATGGCCTCACTGATCCAATAGGCATCTATGAAGGTGTTGTTCACAAACAGACCTGCTACGAGTGTTGGGCAATTTAATTCAGCTCAGACTGGTGCTGCACTTTCAATCACAACATGGATGCTCAGTTTGAGCAGAGAGATGGAGCGGACTGAGCTGCATTACAGACACTGAAAACCAATAGAGATGATAAGGCCTAGAATTATTCACCAAGTACATGAATTTATGGACATTTATATTACATTTCAACCAGTGTTTCCCAGTAGAATATAGCAATATTTCCCACTAATAATTAATTAATCATTAATCATGACCTGGACCTCTTTAAGCTGCAAAGTACTAATTAATTTAGGTCAACATATGAATTTCACAAAGGTCAGAGGTCTGGAACAACAGTGCTGGGGATTTTCTAGAATCACACACACTGCCTAGAGCAGCTAGAAAAAAATATGTTACCTTTGTAAATAAAATGTAAGCCTTTTAATCTAAGGCCTTTTTATGAGAAAACTGAAATCAATGATTTTCAAGACCTGCCGATACTCTGCACTGAAGACAATTAACATTTCAAATCCCAAGGATTCGCAAAACTCTCTGACTTATTTTGTTTTTCATGTGGCCCAGCTGTGATAAGCAATCACC